GAAGAGTGCTGAGTGTTTCATCATAGTCTGCTGGTGAAATGGCGGCGATCATAGCTGTTTTGGAGTTACCTCCCAAACTGTCTTTAAGTAACCACGTCAAGACCTATAATCAATTTTTTAGTTAATTTCCTTGAACAAATATTGCATTAGTTATCTAAATAAGTATAGTTATCTTACAGAGTCTCTATAAGGAACGAACGAATCCTTTTTGGAACCACCACCACCACTAGACTGTTGAGCCAAGGCTGCAATGACTTTACCCAGAGTAGTCAATGATTTATTAATGTTAGCACCTTCTTTTAGACGTTGTCCAGTTGCACCTGTAGCATTAGCACGTTCCGAACCGGCTAAATCCACAAGACTTGAAAGATAAAGCGGAATAGTAAATTATAACTTTAAAGAAATGGAATTGTCAAATAAAATAACAGACAATCTTAATACCTAATACGAGACACTTTTTCGGTATCCATTTTAGTCTCCTGATCGTGCCGTTTCTGAGTTAGTAGTAATGTAAATACGGCATGCGAACGACTTGAAGTTGCGTTCATGTTTGTTGCAGCCACAGTTCTTGCCTAACCATACACTAAATGTTAGTGGACAAAATAATAACAATAATCGAATAATGTTATGTATCATTATTATTTCAACGCACCTTATTACCCTCGTCCATCAAGTTTTCTATATCTTCAAACGAGTTGACGATTAACTTGGATAAGTCTTCAACATATGGCCCAAGAGCAGGATGTTCTCTAACTTTAAGATTTTCTTTATTCTTAGGATTCAGTAAATCGCGAACGCGTTCGTTGTAAATTTCAATATAAGAAACTTGAACTTGGTATGTAACACTAGTATCTTGATTACGGTTAATTCGATTAAATAACTCGCAACATGTGAGGGGGATAATTCCTTTATCTTCTCCGTATCCCATCTTTGCAGGTCAGAGAAATGAACACATGATGTTAATATGGAGACCCAAAGGGAATTAATTATTAGAAATAATTATCTTTGGCCATACCATAGAATAGGATTTACCAGCACCAGTCTGACCATCTAGATAGACAAAGCATGTGATATTATTAGATTATCAGATGATTATTGATTACGTCTGAACAAAAGT